TTAGGGTTACGGGGGGGCGGAGTCTCTGACCACCTTTAGTTTGTCTTCCTCAGGTGCTGAAAGACGCCATGTTGGAGAATCTGACCCCTGAGCTGTTTGTTGATGTCAGTAAACCCAAACGCGACGGCACCATCAACCTGGACAGGTAAGGCGGCCGTGGTTGAGCTGATCTGCATCACTGCGAATCCTCTCCTCTCATTGGTCCAATCAGCTCTGTCCTTTCTGTCTCCTCAGAGTGACCAGACAGCTGTGTCCAGACCTCAGGTACTTTGTGGCCTTCTCCTCTGTCAGCTGCGGCCGTGGGAACGCCGGCCAAAGTAACTATGGTTACGCCAACTCTGTGATGGAGCGCGTGTGTGAAAAGCGGCGCTTCGATGGCCTGCCAGGGTTGGCGGTCCAGTGGGGGGCTATTGGAGACGTGGGAGTGGTGTTGGAGACGATGGGCGGAAACGACGTAGTGATTGGGGGCACCCTGCCCCAGCGCATCACTTCCTGCCTGGAGGTGCTGGACCTGTTCCTGCAGCAGCAGCAGGCGGTGATGTCCAGCTTCGTGCTGGCAGAGAGGAGCACAGTGAGGAGCGAGGCGGGGAGTCAGAAGGACCTGGTGGAGGCCGTAGCTCACATTCTGGGTTAGAAGCTGCGGCTTTATTGACCATCAGTGTTTTTTTCCTGTCAAACTTCCTCTGATCCTTGCTGCTGGTTTTGCTCACAGGAGTTCAGGATGTGAAGCAGCTGAACGCTGAGGCCTCGCTGGCCGACTTGGGCTTGGACTCTCTGATGGGCGTGGAGGTTCGCCAGACGTTGGAGCGGGACTACGACATCGTGATGGCTATGAGGGAGATCCGCCAGCTCACCATTAACAAGCTTCGGGGGTTGGCAGAAGGAACGAAAGGTATGTAACGGATCAGATGCTAAATAACCTTTCCTGCTAGAACTCCTCCAGTCTCTCCGTCTCTGGAACCACTTCCTATTTCCTTCCTTTCAATCCTAGATTGTAAACAGACCAAATCGGCCAAGGACGCCACTCGCTCTGTACTGCAGTCTGACGTGAGCCAGGTTCTGGTGGACCCCAGCGGGCCCACGCTGATTCCTCTGAACCAGGTGAACAGCCAGGAGAGCCCCCTGTTCCTGGTCCATCCTATCGAAGGCTCCACCTCTGCCTTCAGGACGCTGGCCTCCAAGCTGGGCCTGCCCTGCTTCGGCCTACAGTGCACCAGAGGTACGTCAAACACAGAAGCATCACTTCATGATGGGGGAGGATCGCCTCGTCTCGCCTCCAGTTAGTGAAGGAGCTCCAAACTTTGTTTGCTTTAAGCCCGGCGTACACTGAAATTTTTTTTCGATCATTGCACGTATCTGCTACTCACACTGTGCAACTAAACCCTGCGTTTAGTCGTACAGTGTGAGCAGCAGCGATCAACCTGCTCGCAATGTGCGACTAAAAAGCAGGTCGGACTGAGCTCCGCAGTGAGATGGAGCTGCTCTGTAGCTCTCTATCCTGAAGCCAAACAAAGAGAAGAGGGATATTAAGCTCACTATAGTGAACCGCGCTGCCGTGGCAATTTGTGCAATTTTGTGCTGAGGGTGCTAGAAAGAAAGGGCGACGACAGAGCTGCATTTCACTCATTGCATCCCTGCCATGCTGCTGTGTTTACATATGAGAGTAGAAGAAAAAGAAGAATCCTTGTTTAGCATATGCCCTGAGTCATGAGAGGCTGATTGCCCCCCTCTGTACACTACACGACTCATGAAGCACGATCAGGCTGAAAGTTTGGCCGATTCTAACACGACTGGAAAATCGCCTTGAAAATCGCGCAGTGTGCGCCCGGCTTTAGTGATCCAACTTCCAACCAAAGCCAGAATTCCTCATTACTTTCAACAATCTGAAATGGGTAAACGCAATGATCAGTTCAAAACGGAGAGCAGTCATGATGATGATGATGATGATGATGGTGATGATGGTGGAGAAGGAGGAGGAATATCATGATTATTTATTACAGGAAGTAACCCTAACCCAGGAAACGTAACCTGAAAGAAGATGACGTTAGAAAATGGAAAACTGTGTCGGCCATTTTTGTAAAATCCAACAGTTCAGGTGGAAAAACGGCTTTTCTACCTGAAACAATCCGATTAATTGATTATTGAAATAATCGTCAACTAATAGTATTTAATTAATTGTTAACTGGAGTATAGAGACTCTAAAACAGGCCTGTAGCTGACAGAGCGACTCCCTGAGAGCAGGAATTATACCAAGATTGTAAAAAAATATATATAAACATTTTAAATTTATGATTAAAAAAAAATCAATCTGCTCCATAATCCAGAACTCTTAAAGTGGAAAAGTTGAAGTAAAAACCTTTAATGAATCTTTTGCCATCTGATTAATGGATGATTGAAATGTTTAGTTGCAGCCGTACGCTGATGATCTGCTCTTGTTTTTTCTCGTTAAGCTTCTTCAGGTGTGAATTGGCGCCATAAAAATGAACTGAACTATCAAATGATGATCTGATGCAGAACTTTAGTAGAAATTAGTGATGTTACGAGATGAGCCGAGGCTTCGAGGCGTGTGTCGA